ATACATTATGCTAATTACAGTCAGTTCTTGATGAACCGGACGAAATTCACAGAGGGTGTCGCAGTAGGCACCCTTTCGGCCAGCATCCCTCTATCAGCTGACGAAGGAGGCCGGCAGCCGCTGTCAGTATACAATGAAGCCAGAAGGCGATTCCTCAATCAACTCTGCCAAGTGTTGTTGGAGGAATCTGTTCTATTTTTGTTCAGCCAACGGGTTCAACAAAAAAATAGAAGAGTGTATGGCCAGCTTTGGAATCCATCCTTAAAACTCAAACTTTTTAAACAAAAAAAAAGTGACAGCTCACCATTTACTAGACTATTGGTTGGCCCAGATTGCAGCTGGTAGAAGTAAAAATTGCCCCAGCGTGGAAGTAAAAAAAATGCTGTGGCGGAGGTCAATGTATGTAAACAACTTCTTGGCGTCAGTGGGAGCAATGGTACCCTAAATGATTATTTTATAAACACACACACACACACACACACACACACACACACCTTGTTCACAGTCAGTAGGGACCTTCTAACAATGCAATAAGATGCAGCAGTAGGTGTAAATATTGAAATTGTGGATATCAGATAGGCTACTGGGAATGTGAAGCGTGAGAACCCTCATAATAACCGGTCATCTAACAATCACTGGCCACAACTGTGGGATTTCTCTGCATAACAAATGCATGATTATGCAATGTCATATTTATAGGCAGATCAACATATGACCAACAGTTTTCCATAACACACTGAAAGTTCTTTAAATATAGAACAGCAACTAAAATAAAAATACATCTGCATAGTAAGCTTATAATGCCTCAGAAACACATGACAGAAAAGAGCAATACCCTCCTTGCATGATGTAAACAGATGATGAACCATTTACTTGGTTAAGAACTGAGGAAAGTTGGGGCATCCACAACAAGTTATACCTGCTAGAAGTGTGCCAACTTCAAGTTACTTTAACTGTCCCCAGGCCACTACTACTCTGTGTTGCAGTGGTCTTTACTAAATTAAAGTTGTAAGTAGCCACTGCATAAAATGAATATGCAAGAAAGCAGGATTGTTGACTTACCTGTAAAAATCAGTTTCTTTGAGTACAGGCAGTGCCTGAGTTACGAACATCCGAGTTGCACACAACTCGTATTTCCAAACTGAGGTCCCAGGCTGTTCTACTAGTTGTAATGCTACTGTGCTCGTAGTACTGTACCTCCTGTACATTACAGGACGTTGTTAGACGTGCAGACAAGGAGTGCCTGCCTCTTCTTCCAGGTCTGGTACTGTACATTACAGGAAGTTGTACAAACATCTGTAACGGGAGGACACAAACTAGCGTCCTCCCGTCACCCTAAGCTCAGTATACCGCTACAGCTCGCGGTATACTGAGACGCCGCAGCTGAAGCGGATCCCTACAATTATGTCTGGATCCGCCCAGCTGTGTGAGTGACAGCTAGTTCTGCCTATCTAGAGGCAGAGCCAGCTGTAACCGCCCCCTCTCCCGTCCGCCAGTCAGAGCTGGCGGATCGGGGAGGGGGGAATCCAACCCCTCCCCTGTCACGGCAGAGGGCTGTGACAGGATCGAGAGGTGAGCGAACCTATATGTTCGCTCACCTCCCTATCTACTGAGCCGACCTGTGACAGTCTCATTGTCACAGGGTCGGCTAGAACTATGAGGTGAGTGAAAAGCACTCACCTCATACTTCTCCTTTAAAAGTGCATTCAAGTACCCTATTAACAAAAATGTATCTTATTTGTGTATCACTCGGCTGTAGATCTTCAAATCATCTCTGAATTGGTGCGGACACTGTCCTTCCTTCTAGAGGGTGACTACTTTTGTTCCCCATGGTCCCTGTGTGTGTTGTAAAGTAGTCACCGCTCCAAGCTCACACCTGTGATGGACTACAATCTCAATACAATTTAGTAAACTAAATGTGAGAATTCAGCTGCACTTTAAGTATAACTTCTTAATAACTATACTAGATAATCAGGGAATGACCACTTTACTGCCAGTGCCAAACACAACAATGAGGCATAAAAAAAAAAAACATGCTATAAATATCCCAACTATGAATTACCTTCTCTGCACATACTTATACACATCACATGGGTTTAATTTTACACCAATATTTTAATATAATATTTGATGTGCAACACTTGTATTAGTAAGTGTCTCCCTATTTTAACAGTAAAATGGGTTAGAGCGACTTGGCACCATTTAAAGGATTTTAACATGAAAGAATAAACAAACGCACCAAATCAAAACCTGTGTAAAAAGCAATACTGATCCTGCGCAGGCAGCGCAAGCTTTGCATTCATGTCTAGCAAGATAAGAGAATGCCATACAAGCATTTTTGGTGTGAGGCAGTACTCTAAAACAAATGGCCTCAATCAAAAGGTCACCACAATAAGGGTTCATGTAGATAGACATTTCATGTCCTACATTGCCTTTTCCATTTAAAAGCCTCACTGCTCAAGCACATGCATTTAAAATATAAAATGCAGTATTTGTTAAGAGGACAAAGGTCGTTGATTCTTAAGGTGCCCATCGACTTTTTGTCCGATAATCGTATGTGTGCATTGCAGTGTCCGACCGACAATACTGTACAATCGTACAACTTTTGACGGTCAAGCATGTTTGAAAACTTTGCTAGATCTTACGATTGTCGTAAGGTTGCTAGCGTTTCCGTCCGTCAAAAGTCGTACGATGTACACTGCGCTTGCGCTAACGAAAATACGACAAATCAATTACCGCATTTCGTCCAGGTGCTTTTGGTTAATTACGGCTAAATGATTCTTGCGATCATCGGGGCAGGATGGGGCTGCCGTACGAAAATCGTACGACTATTCGATCATCGGACGAAAAGTTTCATCCGATAATCGTAAGGTGTATGGGCACCTTTAGACCACTAGGTTATGTAGTTACCGACAGGTGACTGGACACTGTCAAATCAGTCAAAGCTGCAGGACAGCCCTGGATATGAGCTCCCACTCCCAACCCGTCTTAGTGTCCAGACAGCTTGCGAATATCGGTGCGATGGCCGGGGCAGGATGGGGCCACCGTACGAAAATCGTACAACGGTTCGATCGGACAAAAATTTTCGTCCGATGATTGCAAGTGTATGGGCACCTTTAGTTGTGGAGTAAGCAGTAGAGTGGATCACAGAAAGTAGAGGGGATGGTCCCGTGTCTGGTGATGTAATCCAAGAAATGGATTTTACAGTTAAGACAAAAATCTTTTTTCCTGATTGTACATCACAGGACATAAGGAGTTAATTCTTAGACTACTGGGATAATCAAAATAAGTCTAATAGAGGGGTGGGCAAGACAAACAATGGTTAATTGACCCAAAGGACAGAAACCCTAACAGGGAACAGAGAACAATCCATGGCCGCCTGACGGACCATCCATGAAAAACTGGCATCTTCAGAAGCCTGAACATCCACCTGGTAGAATTTAACAAGTGTGCAGTGACGACTTGTAGATTTGGGATATCAAAGCCTGGTGCTAAAAAGCCCAAGAAGCATTAACACTTCTAATAGAATAAGCCATGACCAGAAAAGGAGGAACTTTCCCCTTCAGCTCATAGGACTGGAAGATATTCCAACCTATCCACCTAGCAACAGTGGAACATTAGGCAGGCAGTTCCATGGGCCAAATTAGCGTGTCAGCATACACCTGAAGCTAAAATACAACTTTTGGGTGAACTAATACTTTGGCCACTAAATCTAAAATGAAAAAGGTCATATTGTTTGCAACACATTTACAATTTAATGGACACAAAAATTCAGCTTCCCAATGGCATGGTTCCTAAACAATCATACATTCCAAGTCCAAGGTTGCTGGTAATCGCCCCCTTACCATCTCCCAACCACAGACTATATAGAAACCACAACAGATATCCAGTGATAAATTGCAATAGAATTACTCTGTTACCATGCATATTAGCACTGAATAGGAGTTCCGTTAAATTTTGACATTTAGGAAACTCCGATGTATATCCTACTGATTTATGGAAGACAGATTATGCAACAAGAAACAAAACAGCGGCAGACATTTTGTTTTCTATGGCATTTACTGGACAGTGTCTCTTAAAATACTGATCTTAACAATGTTACCTTCAGTTTAAGTGTTTTCAGTTCTAATAATATATCAAAAATCTTTTAAATATCGGTCCATGAATGTTATTAAATTCTCATTCACATAAACAGTTCAGGAAAATTATACAGTTTACGTATAGTGGCCATTAAAATCGCTTTGCCATAACCAATACCGCCCATTTTTTTCTTCCTCCAGTTTCCAAAAATCAGTGTCTTTGAGACTTGGAAGTTCAATACTCGACTGCCAATTCATAGATATCTAAAGCAGACCAATAGTCAAAGTAAGACCCAAACGATCCCTGACCGGCTTGCAACTTCAACATCCAAAAAGGTAGAAGCAGTCCTAAAATACTTGCTGCAGAACTCAGTTCGGCTTGATCACACCACATCCAGTCTACTGACCAATATCTCCTGAATAGGAGAATAGGAAGGTCAGTCTGGCTAACTCTCCCCTTCAGAAGGTGATGTGGTTATGGGAATTTAGAGCAACAGATAATGCAGAGAAGGCAAATACTTCAGGGCTTCTGATACCTTTTATTACCTTAAGTGAGCAAGGTGGGGCAGGGAAGCACATGAGACTTATTTTGATGATGGGTTTGTTTTAGGGGAAATCAAACACGTACAGATCGCAATTGCATCACAGGCAGTGGAAAAGTAAATGACTGATAGAATACGACATGAATAGGACAACATACAGCATTTGGTATGAATACTTTGTATGTGGGTGCATTAAATATTTGAATATGCAAATGACCTAGAAGGCAATAAACATTTTGTAAACAAATAAATATGAAATGTCCTGGATAAGAACAGATGAAGAGACAAAATCAGTCATACACAGTGCCAATCTCCTAAACAGCAAGTGCGACAAAGGACAAGGCTAAATCCACAGTGAAAACAACATTCAGTCCAGGCCACAACATGCCTTTCAGGATTCACAGTCCAAAAGCACAGAGTGGACAACACAAAAAGCAGCACAAAGATGTAATTGAGGAGTTCTGGTATCAGATGGTGAAGCTCAATCCCATTGCTCAGAACCCCAAATGTAGAAAAAGATACATGTTGTTGATACAAGTCTTTGATATGTTACAATAATAAGGCAGAATGTAGAAAATAAGAAAGGGAGATGTACAGGGATGGAAGTGTGAAAAGCAAATAGAAAATAAAATGATAGCATAATCCGATTCATTATGGAGAGTAAGGTAACAATACAGGAAATGTCCTTCGCAGCAGGGCCAGGAGATGCCTTTGGTTCACTAGTGGCGTTACCAGTCTATACGAGTCCAGTCTTTTGGTGAATGCACCTTAACCTGGAGTTTTACCCCTCATTTCCCACAAGTTCTTCTCAAGACAAATGCTTAACTAGATAAAGTTTCTCGCCATGCTCGCTGGTGAAAATTGGAGCCTTTTTGTAATGTTCTACCAGTTCCTCCATGGTGGTAAACTTGCGCTGACCGATGCAATACACATTGTCTTTCATCTGTACTTTGAAATGCTTGTTCTTGCCTTGAGCTTTCAGCGACACAGAGAAGTCATTTGGCTTGAAAGAAGAAAAAGGAAATATATTAGAATAGGAGCACGAACTGCATGAAATGGTTTCTTTTTATACTTCAATCATTTACAGCCAATACCAGGATATAAAACACAGCAAGATTGCGCTCACGTTTGTTGAGCTATCCTATTGATCAGTGAATCCATCATTCATATTACATGACCAACAGCGTGGCTTGGGAAGTGGCAGGACTAGAGATGTAACATTTCTGGAAATTTTGAAGCCATGGAGAAAAAAAACAACAACATTTCTTAATTTTTTCCCCCGGAAAAATATGGAAATTTTCAGGAAAAAAAATAAATCATTGTGGAGTATTTTTATAAATTGAAAGTAATTTTGCTACACTCAGACTTGCAAAAGATTTACTGGCGCTAGTATAAAGCTACAAATCACCACTTGTATTCAACAAACTAAAGCTGTCCATATACTGCTCAAATTTAGGCTTAACTCCACTGATTCCAACCCAATTCAACCTTAAAGCCTATTTCCACCTTACATAGTATCGGAGGTTGAATAAAGACACAGGTCCATCAAGTTCAACATGTGCGTGCGTGCACATGTGTGTATACGAGTCCCTGTATGGTCACTTTTGTGGAGGTATTAAAAAAACATATGCCAGCAATGTACACCAAGTGTACATGAAGCAGGCATAGGCAGTTGCTGCATATAAACACAGAAACTTGCGTTTTTGTTACCCTTCCTCCTCATATCCTCATGCAAGCGGCCGCCTCTGTGCTATGCAAGCAATCTGTGTGAATATCAATATAATCACAGGGAGCGGGGCAGCTATTTACAGCTTGCTTTACAGTCCGACCCCAGTATCTGTGTTTCCTGTGGAGACATTTTTGTATTTGTAGGATTCAAGCCCCCAAAAAAAGTTCACAAAAAGAAATGAAGAAAGCCTTCAATTCGAGTCATGAAAATGTGCACACATATACTGTACATCATCTCTGCACCTCTTCATTACCACAATACATGCAAATCACTTGTTGTACTAATACGGCCGGCAGCTTCCTAGAGCTGAGCGAGCATATTTAAATGTCCCGCCAGCCACCCGTGCACGTGAGCCGGAAACTGCCAACATTTTAAAATATAGAGCCGGCGGAACGCTTGTATAAGGTGAAGGTCCGTGTGTTGGTCTTGGATACCCCTGATGTCTCCCTAAAGAGGACCTGTCACACCCTCTTTGCCATCACATAGAGGGTTTTCTTAGCCCCCTATGCGATAGCAATAGAGTTAGGTAAAAAAAATAGGAAAAAAATAAAAAAGAAGTTGCAAAAGATTTTGAAAAAGGAAAAATCACATCCATGAAATTTTAATTCCCTTAAGTCCCCACCCATACATACACACATGCCAACATGAGTTGGGTGTGCATACGTGCGAAAGCGATGATTTCGCCCATTACGCTGCACATGTTACATACAGGTGAAACTCGATTAGAATATCGTGCAAAAGTTCATTTATTTCACTAATGCAAATGCTTGTGCACCTTTTTTCTTCCACACTTTTCCCTTCCACATAACTTTCTATTAATGTGCTTTGATACAGCACGTTGGGAACATCCAACTTCTTTTGCAATTACCCTTTGAGGCTTTCCCTCCTTATGGAGGGTGTCAATGATGGTTTTCTGCACAACTGTCAGGTCAGCAGTCTTTCCCATGATTGTGATTCCTACTGAACCAGACTGAGAGACCATTTAAAGGCTCAGGAACCCTTTGCAGGTGTTATGGCTTCATTAGCTGATTAGAGTGGGACACTTTGAGCCTAGAATATTGCACCTTTTCACAATATTCTAATTTTCTGAGATTGTGGATTTGGGGTTTTCATGAGCTGTAAGCCATAATCATCACAATTATGACAAATCACAGCTGGAACTATCTTGCTTTGCATGTAATGAGTCTATCTCATATATTAGTTTCACCTTTTAAGTTGCATTAGTGAAATCAATGAACTTTTGCACGATATGCTAATTATTCGAGTTTCTCCTGCATCTCTGCGAACATCGCAGAGAAAGCAATAATTCTAGGACCATCACCGATGACACTAAACTGATGAGCGGTAAAATCGTTGCCTATAGTCAATCTTGGGTTTGGTAGTTTTTCGCGATTTCTTAGGTGCGCGCAATTTTAAAGCTCGACATGTTTGGTGTCTATTTACCCGACGTGAACCAGTCTTTTATATTTTACCAAAAAATTGGGTAACAATAATTGTTTCCCAACATAATGGGGGGAAAAAAAACCTTTTCAAAATTTGCAGTAATTTTTCCATAATATAGTAAAAAACAAAAACCCCCAGTGATGAATAAATACCACCAAATAAAAGCTCTATCTGTCCCCAAAAAATTGTATAAAATTCATTTCAGTACAGCGTTGCATGACTGAATAAACGTCAGTCAAAGTACTGCAGCGCTGAATACTGAAAAATGGCCGGGACAGGAAGGGGGTGAAGACACCTGGTCTTCAAGCGGTTAAATCCTGCCCCTAGGCTTCAGTTTTGTAAGCCAACAGTACATAGGTCCAATAAAAAGAGGGGTGGGACCTGGATCCCTCAACAGACTTCAATCCCATTCATGTTAGCAGAGGATCATTGTAAATGTATTGTTGCAGGCACTCTATATGTACATGTACTATATACTACATATAGAGTGCACTGAAGCAGTGCCCCCAGTGGCAGAAATGCAGATTTCTTTTTCAGTTTGAGACCTGCATTGAGAAGTTCAGTGTTACTTGAATTGTATTCCAGGATTTGCTTGTCTTCAGCTGAGAGAATGTGCAATCATTTAAGACTTTATAACATTAAGACCTTAAAAAGGAGAACTATGAGGCGAGTGATTTTCACTCAACCTCATAGTTCTAGCCGGCGTGTGACAATGAAACTGTTACACGTCGGCTCAATAGATCGGGAAGTGAGCGAAGACATACCGTCGCTCTTCCACTTCTCGATCAGCTCCCTGCAGGTATTCCCCCCCTCCCTGCTCCGATCCTCCAGCGCCAACTGGAGGAACGAACGGGGGAGGGGGCAGGTACAGCTGGCTCGGCCTCTAGATAGGCAGAGCCAGCTGTCACTCACGCAGCTGGGTGGATCTCGACAGTAATGTCGGGATCCGTCCCGGCTGCAGCGGTCTCAGTATACCACAAGCTGTAGCTTGCGGTATACTGAGCTTTGTGTCACAGGAGGACGCTTGTATATGTCCTCCCGTGACCCTGAGGAGAACTATGGGGAAAAACACTTAACCCATAGCTCTCCTTTAATGAAAGATTTCTGAGGCTTTATGTTTAGTGTGAATACCATGTCACAGATATATTATATATCATTGTATAAGAACATATTCCACACTCCTTTTTCTATATTTCAATTTTTCCAGAAAAAAACCAAACAAAAAACGGCTTTGGGGGGAAAAAACTGAAATTTGTCTCCCAATGTTTCCGTTTTCCCCCCCAGCCCTTCCCATCTCTAGTTATGGCAAGTACAAAAACCTTACTTTCTTTTATCGAGTCACACAAATATAGTAACAGGGCCACCCATGGCTCACATTTTGGCCAGTGCATGAATCGACCATAATTTGAGCAGTGTATGTCTATCTAGGGAATTAATATATTCCTGTGTCCCTCAATTGACAAGAAAGAAATTACTTTTTTCTGCAGATAATCTACATATGTAATGACAGTGTAAACGGTACAAACATCCTAAGCTCACATAGCCAGGTGCACATATACAAGCTCAGAGACTATGCATTATGGCTTTGTTGCTACAAAAATCTTGTGGGGGATAAGTCTGTAGTAGGTGCCATGATGTCTGGCTACGGCTGCTTCTTTTCCTGCCATTGCTCTCTGTTATAGGCTATTTTTTATTTCATTTAGGGGAAATGCTGGTCTGACGGCTGCCGAGCAGAATAAACACACAAATGTGTGTCAAACATTGCACTGGACTGTGGTGTTATAACATTGTGACACCAGTTTTGTCATTATTAAAAATGAATTCTGTAAACTACTGTCACAAAGATGTATAAATATTCACCATTGTGACATACATTTAAAGTGACACTAAACTCAGGAGTTAAATCTTAAAAATGAATTCAAGTACCTTAAAAAGAGAACAATGAAGTAATCCTTTTTTCCCCATAGTTCTTCCTCAGGGTCAAGGGAGGACATATACAAACATCCTCCTGTTACCCAAAACTCAGGATATAGCAGGCTTTTGCCCGCTATATGCCGACAGCACCGCAGCCGGAACGGATCCTGACAATACTGTCGAGATCCACCCTGCTGGCTGGTTGACAGTGGGCTCTGCCTATCTAGAGGCAGAGCCAGCTATGCTTGCCCCCTTCCCCATCTGTCCCTCCAGTCAGCGCTGGAGGATCGGCGAGGGGAGGTGTCAGTCACAGCTCTCTGCAGGGAGATGATCGGGAAGTGAGCATCGGCATGCTTTTGCTCACTTCCCTATCAATAGAGCTGACCTGTGACAGTTTCAATGCTCTAACTTTGGGGACGAGTGTACTTCACTAACCTCATAGTTCTTATTTAAGTAATGACACAAATGTATCTTGTGTGTATCACTCAGCTGTAGATCCTCAAATCATCTCTGAATTCATGCTGACATTGTCCTTCCTTCCGGAGGGTGACTACTTTTGTTCCCTATGGTCCCTGTGTGTGTTGTAAAGTAGTCACTGCTCCAGGCTCAATCCTGTGATGAACTCCAATCTCATGTTTAGTTTACTAATTTGTATTGAGATTGTAGTCCATCACAGGAGTGAGCTTGGAGTGGTGACTACTTTATAACACACACAGGGACATGAGGAACAGAAGTAGCAACCCTCCAGAAGTAAGGACAGTGTCAGCACCAATTCAGAGATGATTGGAGGATCTACAGCCGAGTGATACACAAATAAGATACATGGTTGTTAATAGTTAAATCTTAAAAATGCATTCAAGTTCCTTTAACTCCTGACTTTGGTGTCACTTTAACACTGCAAAATGTGACCCAGATGCTAGTAGAAACACCCTGTATAAGAAAAGGAATACTGCTGCACTCTACAGCAGGCAGCGACTCCAATCTTCATTCTTTACTGTTGTGACACAGGAGCCAGCGGATGGCACCACAATAACACGAATATGAAAAATGGGGGACTTAGCCATCACTGGGACAGAAAATCACTGACAAAAGATATAGCCCTTACCCACGCAAATAAAAAAAAGTGTGCCCTGAGAAGAGGTGAGGGGACATTTCTTCAGCACTGACACAGATAATAAATCCTGGCACGGGCTCTTCTAAACCTTCCCTGCTCTTTCCAAAATACTAAATGCTTGAACTGGGCTTTAATTTAAAAAAAAAAAAAGGAGAATGCAATGCAGGAGGATATTCTTGCAGGATTTGAGCGCCCAGGTCTCCCGGCATATAGTGCTGAGGCACAAGGACATCAGCACTGCCTTCTGCAGCTGGGTTCCCAGGGAAGTATTTTTTTTTTTTAAATGCTGCATTTTAGCCCACTCCTAATACAGTCAACTCTCAGTTATCCGGTATTCAACTAACCAGAACTCTCATCTAAACATTTGTCTTAAGTGTGTCTATTTGCCTTAAATTTGCTTTTGATTACTGCATTTCAATATTAATATGAAGTCAATACAGAGTTTATGTTATGGTATAGTATGGAATATGGCATTAGTCAGACCTATTTTTAATACTGACTCTCAAGCAACCAGAAACTATATTTATCTGGAACCTACCTATCCCCTTGGATGCCAGAAAACGGGGAGTTTACTGTATACCTTTTCTTATACAGATGCTCTGAGGTTGGCAAGGAACCTCACCTCATGCAGCAGTTTGAGCGGCAAGCCTCACTCATTTTTTCCCCCCCGCACATTTTTGACAAGTTGTGCCTGGCACATTTGGGGTGCCTTTATCAATGGAACATGCATATTCCTCAAATTGCAGGAACACCCATCAATGTGCATGCTTTTGCATGCATTCGGGGTATAATTTGCAGACAGAAAATGGTTATAGTTCTAAAAAAATTAAAACATTCTTGCGAATGTTATTAAAGAACTATGAGGCGAGTGCTTTTCACTCACCTCATAGTTCTAGCCGACCTGTGACAATGAGGCTGTCACAGGTCGGCTCAGTAGAACGGGAGGTGAGCGAACACATACCGGCGTTCGCTCACCTCTCGATCCTGTCACGGCTCTCTGCGGTGACAGGGGAGGGGCTGGATTCCCCTCTCCCCGATCCCCCAGCGCCTACTGGCGGAACGGACGGGGGAGGGGGCGGGTAAAGCTGGCTCTGCCTCTAGATAGGCAGAGCCAGCTGTCACTCACGCAGCTGGGCGGATCCCGGCACAATTGTCGGGATCCGCTTCAGCTGCGGCGTCTCAGTATATCGCAAGCTGTAGCTAGTGTCCTCCCGTTACCCTAAGTAGAACTATGGGGAAAAGCCCTGACCCCATAGTTCTCCTTTAATTCAGTGATTAGAAAAGAAATCCATAAAGAATGCGGAAGCCAGTGAGTAAGTCTGCCCAAAGCCACCTTATAGTCTGGTAACACGGGCTCTTAGTTATATGAAAAAGATTTTAAATTGAGGCTTTAGATGAAGTCCTTTTGAAGCTTACAGGATACTCGGGCTCCTGAAGTGTTGTCAAGCTCTAAAGTGATTGAGCGTTATCGGCAGATTAATAGCACTTACCGAAGATTCACTATCTCTGATTAGGAAGTCCCCCTCGTTGCCTCGTTCATTGAGCGCCATTTCTGCCTGATGCCGTGTAACTTTTCCATAATACCACGGATGGCCAGCAAAGCGTCCAGAGACGGAAGGCCCTATGTAATCACAGCGGGGTGGCAATGGCTCATAACCCGAGCTGGGCTGTAAGTTCTGCATTATAGTGACGTAGTTCTTTGGTACAAGACCCACCAGGCCATTGCTCTTCCGGCATTTCCACCATTCGGGATCATTCTCTGGCTTCTCAATCACATCCATCATTTCACCTTTCTCAAAATTAAGCTCCTCCTCATTAGATGAGCTAAAAGGATACAAAGCCTGGACCACATGGAGCGAGCGGCCATTGTTGAGGTTGTTGACAACTGCTGCCAATTTTTCAGACAAAGTTCCTACTTGGTCTCCAGAGGGGCTATCATTCTCCTCAGTCACGTAATTTGACGGGAACCAGCCTACACGTCCATTGTAACTGCCCCGCCACCAACCGTCACTGCACTTTTCCATTACTATCACCTTTGTTCCTTTCACCAAAGATAACTCATCCTCTCTTTCAGCTGCGTATGTGAACTTAACATAGGCTGGCATGTTAAGGTCGTACAGACGTTCTGTATCCGATAAACTTTCATCTGCTGTGGAAGACGAATCGGGCATGTTTGTTTTCCGCTTTACTTTTCCAATACCTGGAAATAAAGACACAAATATTAAGAACATTTCTGAACCAAAGGCTCTTAAATATTATGTAAAGCCCTAACTTATTTTCATCTTGCATAAAGAAGGGCCATATCTAGAATTCCTCCTCTCATTTTGTGTTCCAGCGATAGTGGTCAGCAGGTCAAATAGAGAAGGATAATTGACTTAAGATAACCAACTATCCTCTAGAATTGTGCATCGCAGTTATACAATTATTTTAATACCAGAAAATTAAACTGACTACCCGACTCAAGTATGTTAGATATAAGTGACAGTCCCTGGGCAACAGTAACATGGGCAACATATCTGCACAATCATGACAATCAGGATAACAAACCACATCAAATATACATAGTGTCAGCTGTATGATACCTGCTCCTGACTGATGTGGTCAATGAATGTCCAGTCATCTATATGTGTATGTATATGAAGGGCAATAGAAAAATGTCACCAGCACACCATAAGTTGAAAAAGCAAAATATTTTATTGCCAATAGCTGTATTGCCAATGAGATACAGCTATTGGCAATAAAATATTTTGCTTTTTCAACTTATGGTGTGCTGGTGACATTTTTCTATTGTTCATGTGTGGCGGCGCCATCCGCAGTCATTTCGAGCACCCATCCTCATCAAGTAAGGAGTGCGGTATGGTTCCGGTTTCTGTATATGAAGGGCAGCGCAAACATGATGCTCCAGCCTTGTATTATCCTGCATGTTTGCGGTCTACCAGGAACAAATGTTTTACCATTGTTTTCTGCAATTGTTGTGGTTTCACCGATTCTGCCACAAGGAGGGTACAAATGAAAGTGTCTTTAAATCTCCCAAAACATTAGGAGGTTAATTTATCAAAACTGGATCAGGCAAAATCTGGAGCAGTTGTGCATGGCAACCAATCGGCGTCTCAATTTCATTTTCAAATCTTAACTGAACTGAAGAGAGAAGTTAAGTCAACCAAAAACCATTCAGATTTTGTCAGCTGCAGTTTTGATAAATTCCGCCCACAGTATATTTTCCAGAAAGCAGAGACCCTGTGGAATTAAAATGGCAGTTGCAATTTATGTCACACAATATTTGTGTTACTGTTTATCAAATGAATATTTTCAGTTCTCAATTCACACTTCATTATATTGCTATCACATAGGGGCAAACAAGCTCTCTATGTAATAGCACACATACAGTGACAGGTTCTCTTTATGGCGACATCTGGGTCAATAAGACTCCTAATGTCACCCAGGGACCCCCAAAGAAGCTGATCAGATATAAAACTCAAGTTTTAAGTAAAATATAAAAGTTAAGGTTGTGTTGAATATATAACAAATTTGTTACGCCATAGTGTCCAAAGACATGCTGGTTAATTGGCTCCTGTCTAAAAGGTGGCCC